TTAGATTTTTGGCATAGCATTTAGAGAATGATCGATGAGCTGCATGTAAAATTAATGATATTTAATTTAATCGATGAGATATCACAGACACCTTAGTCTAATGAGAAGTTCTGACCATGTTCATACTAATTTTTTTTCCCTTATGAACTAAAAGCAAGTTATGCAAACTCAATGAGCTGCTCTTGTAGTGTTGCCATCAGCTTGCTGTTTGGACGGGAACTTTGCATCTGGTACACTTTTGGTTTGGTGGGGTGGTTTGCAGTCACCAGCCCTTGAGGCATTTGGTGTTTTGGTGCAGAATAGACTTGTGACAGTCAGTGCTTTGTTCTGCAGACCTGGGAAGTGGCGCTGCAGGTTCCCCCGGCCGTTACGTGTCCCAGTCAAGTGGTAAAGCTTCAGATTAACTGGGGTTTTCTAGTTGGTTTGCACATTTAATTTTATACACACTCATTTCGTGTTGGAAAGTTGACTCTAATCAGTGCAAACAATGATAACTGCTCGCCAAAAGATGCTGTCCTTCCTGTGTCATCGTTGCCCCTTTGTTTTCGTTGTGCTTTGTGGTTGGGAGACCTTGCTTTGCCTTGCTCTTTTCATTCCCTTCTTCCAGACAGAGCTCTCATTAGACTATGTCCTCTGATGTTTGGTGGTCTTTTTCCATCATGTGGTCCTGCAGCATAGCCCCAGATGTTCTACCATCTCTAGGTAATTACAGTTCCCAAGGAGATCTCACTGATGAAATACATCCTGGTAAAAATAGTTCACCTAGATCACCGTTTTAAAATAGGTAGCACTAGTATCCAGGGTGACCTGTTTCTCTCTATATTTAACCGGTTAAACTGGTGAGATGAAGCCTGTGTTCGTTTCCCCAAATCGCACGGGAGGCGATGCCTTGTGTAAGAGATGCCCTCAGCCAGCACCCCGCCTCACTCAACGGATTTATCAGCAGCACTCGGACCACTTTAGCAATAAAATTAATTTGAGTTCTGAGGCAGATCTAATGCCGTTACTGGTTAGGTCTCAAATGATCTATTGTATGCTTTATCAAATCCCATGGATTTATCATCTGTCCCACTGATAGTTCTAGCTTAATTTTTTTAAGAAATAATTATGTATGTTTGTACAGCTATGCTGATGTGTATGTTCTTATATATAAGTATATATTTATTTATAATTTTGTACTTATATTTTATACTTATGGGATGTCTGTGTTGTGTGCAGACAGTAAAACGAAGGTGACCTGGCTCTGGGCACTCAGATGAGATGTTGTTCTGTAGTGCCTCACTTCCCAAGATTCCTGACACTTCAGCCGGCGGCTCGCTGAGCGCTGGCCCATCTGCCTGCCCTGGTTGCGGTTCCTCCCAGCACCTGAGTCGCACTGGGCACCTTTGTAGGCTTTTGTTACTGGCACAAACTCTCGTGCCAAGTATTTAACAGTCCCCTGATGTTAAATGGAAGCAGGGAGGAAGCCTTGCATGGATTACAGTGGCTGGATGGTCTCATCTGGGAAGGAGATACTGTTAGAACTGGAACTGTTCAGCATAAAAATGGGAATAACTTGCCCCTCCCTTTTTAACTTCACGTTTACAAAGGTAAAAACTTTTAATACATGCAAGTGATGTATTTTAAAACTTTGGGAGACAAAGTAGTTATATTTTAATGTTGGCTGTAAGGAATCTCTGCTGTACAGAAACCCTAATGAAATAAGAGCAGAGTATCTTACTTCATATTCTGTGATTTCTGTCCCCTCTCATGTGTAAGTAAGTTAATAGTGCAGGAAGTGAAGGAGGACCCGAGTAGTGTGTGTCATGGGGTGGTTCAAATCCAGAAAATCTAAGATAAACAATGTTTTACAGAAATGTAACAATTTTTGATTAAAAAAAAAAAAGATAGTGAACACATTAAGGTTTTCCAGCATATTTGCGTATGCAGAATGCTGCTGTTGCTGAAGTGCACCACCTCATAGATCCCTCGTCTTTAAACCAGATCCTGACTTCAGTTTGCCCACTTCCTCGTATAAACGGATCTGTAGCAGTGCATGTTTCTGTTACGGGGCTGGTAGAGTGATTTTCTGTGCTCTTGTCTGGGACATTTTCATCATCAGAAGTGGCACGAGTGCTGGGCTCCCTTGGAAAGCTGTATTTCATGAAAGCACGTGGTTCGGTAGTTCTGTTTTCTGATTGTAGTTCTTAAACCAACCAAAAAATCCAAACAAAAAAACCCTACCACACATTAGACAATGTTTTCTTGGAAATTTTTGTTTATAAAGTGTAAATTACTATGCTGGGATACATAGCTTCCCATTTGTGCTAGGCATAATGTGATGGGAATTGATTGAAATAAAGCTTTTTTTTTTCCCCTTAAACATAGCTTCCAAGTGTTAATGGTAGACTTACCAGGGGCTGCAGTCTAATTATCTGATTATACTGTGACGAAGGTATGTTTAAGTTAGGAAAGTTTCTCAGGAGAAGGATGTACAGGCTATTTACATAAAACCTCAGGAAGGACAGGGAAAGTGAGACCAAAGGAATTTTTAGCTTTATAATAGTGTCTGACAGAGGTCAGTGGTGGGTGCCAATGCAGAGCAGATCTGCCCTTCAGCTGAAAACGTTTGTGGTTTTATCTTAAAGGTAGTATTTTGGTGACTGGGACAAATTACAGCTGAAGTTCTTAAAGAATGTGGGAAAAGCTTTTCCGTAACATCTTTTGGAACTTGTTTTATGCCGTGGTGCTTGAGCTAACTTATTTGTGTAAATTGCTCTGTATTTTAATGCAGTTCTAGCAACATGTATTATTTAAAATAGGAAGCTTGTTGCAGCAGGCATCGACCGTGACGTGAATGTGAAGGATGTGCCAAAACCCTTGCCGTGATGCTAGCTAGAAAGCTAAAATGGACAGCTAGGCCTGGCGATGTGCAGTAAATTATAGTTGGAAGGGAAAAAACTGCAGTTGGAGGGTGGTTAGATCCTTGTGTTCCTTCCTCATGTTGGTGGTGATAATCACAGCTGGCCTTGGAGGGAGCAGTCACTGCTGAGAAGTTGCAGCACGTTGTCCTTACAGGTCTGCAGCTGGTGGTGACAGCTTACCCTGCGCTTTGGCCACGGTGAGTACAGTGAAGCTCACGGATATGCAATTACAAACATCCAAACCAGCTTCCACTGCAGAGGAACGGGTCCACTTCTGAAGTTTGGAGATTACCCGGAGTCAAGAACGGATGTAAAGATGCGTTTGGGGTTGCTGAAGGGCGTCACGGTAGTTAACAGCTCTGTGTGGAGGTTGTCAGTCTTCGCTGACTCTCATGGTCATTGGCCCGGCGTGCTCTGTGCTTAGTGCCAAAATGCACTGAACATCACTGGTAGCACCAGCAAAACAATTCCAACATCAGCAAGCTCGACAGCCGTGCGATTGTGTGCGGGTTAGGTGAGGTGGTGTTACAGGCCTCGGGGTTCCTCCAAGAATGTTTTGCTTCTTTCAAATAGGTTTTGCAAAATCCTACTTCTAGGGTGAACGGCAGGTACAGTTCTGAGTGGTATTCTGCCGAGAATCGGATCTGTCCTTCCTGTTGCCAGTCTGAATACCCAGGAGGTGTGATTTGCAGATGGATTGGTATGTTGTGTCATCCTGCTTGCTTCTGAGTAGGGTAACAGATGGATCAGATGCTTTGCATCGCTCTTATTGCTGGATTCCTCCAAGAAGATCTTTCCTAATATTGCCGTTATTGTGACTTTATGTGCTGCTTCTTGTGATTTCTGTGCTTTTAATTTGGAAGATATTTAACCAAAACTCACTGTTACAGTATGTCAGAAATGAAATAATGGAAAGCCAGTTTGGGGAGAGTGTATCTCACCATACTTTTCTGCTTTGGACGCCAGTACACTTCTTGCTTGCTTGTCTTCTATTGTTGCATGTCCTTGGAGAAGCTTCAAGCTTGGCTGGCTGGATCCCTGAGCAGCCCGGTCTAAATAAATGTCCTTGGAGCAGGTCTGTGGGCTAGATGATCTCCAGAGGTCCCTTCCAACCTAGATTATTCTGTTGCCCTGGGACATGCAATGTCTTCACTGGTGACATATCAAGGGAAGAACTGCATCCACATTACGTTTGGTGAAGTGTTATCAGCTGACATTTTATTTCAGGCAGTAAGTTGCCAGGTAGTTTGATTCCACTGTCCACGTAGGTTGAAGAGCTTTTTGTGGTATGAAGGTAAATGTTTCTCTTGCGAGAACACTTCAAATTTGGTTACGGTCTGTGAATTGGAAGAAACGTTAACTATAAATACTTTGTGTCTGTCTTTACGTAGAAGTTCTGTTCAGTAGCTCACGCTTCAGCCTCTCCCTGGTCAGGTAAGCTTTTGCATCTTGAAAACTCAGGAGGCAGAGCCAAAGCAAAGGCTGGTATCAGCACAGTCTGCACAGGTTTTCTGAGCCATCTGTTAAATGTCTGGAACTTGTGCAGTTGTCAGGGCTGGAGCAGGTATTGCTCTGTTTCTGTGGAGTTGTTACTTCCTTCTGGAGTTCTGTTGCCATCATTAGTCAAATTAATATTTCATCAGGTCTGTCTATTTGTTTAACAGCTTAAAATGAAGTTGTGTGAACTGGGTGCTCTCCTCCAATGTGATACGCAGAGTTCAGATCTAGGTCCTGTTTTCATATTATTTGAGCTGAAAAATTCTGCTTCGTATTAAGCAGAGAAAAATGGTGAACTGGAACTTTTCAAATAGCCAGCCAGGTTGGGGTCAGACTATCAAACACGGTCTGTGTCTGCCAGTTCATAGCACAAACAGGATTAGGCAGAGCAGAGCCGGCAGGTTGAGGGAGGCGAGCTTGATGCTCCAAGTGGACCACATCCAGAATACCACATCCATTTTTGGGCTCCTGAATGTGTCAGTGGCAAAGACTTTATTCAACTGGAGGGACCTTGCTTGGCCCTCCTCCAGCATGGCTGGGAGCCGAAGCGTGTGCCTTGGGAGAGGTTTGTTGGGCCTGAAGAAGTCTGGCAGTGGCGGGATGGACCTCGTAGCAGCTGCCGGTACGTACAAGGAGGTTATCGTGGAGATGGACCCAGGTGTCTCACAGTGGTGCACAATGGGAGGACAAGCGACAACAACCTCTGTCGAAACCTTGGAAGTGAATTGCCAGCTGCTTGTGAACAGTCTGATCCCGCCGGTAGTCTGTAGCGTCTGTAACAAGGGGTCACCTGTGCTGGCTTTTCTTTTTTTGGCCTTTTTTTAGTGAGGCAGAATGGAATATAGCTAAAGGGAGACATCTCTCAGCTGAATCAAAGGAGAAGTTGTGTGCTAAACCCGTCTTGCGCTCTTTAGTCAAATATTGTTAGAAGGTTTTACGTATTTAGTGAGGTGAGAACTTCTGCAGTTGTGGGGGAATGAGAATAAAAGGGATATAAGCAAATTCCTTCTAATGATGACCTATGAATTTGCTTTTCTTAAGTGTTTCTGACCTAGTAATGCAGGTAATACCCATATCTATATGATAATTTAGTTAATGGACAATATTTGTATTTCCGCTTTTATGTAGGTTCTTTTAGACATGTTTGCTTTCCCACTTTGATGGAATAATCTGTATTATAAATGAACAGATAAATCTGTTTTTTTCCTTGCGCATCTATAACATTTGCAAAGCTAATACTTGCAAATGTTTTTGCTAGTATATTTGCAAAGCTGCAGTTATGCATTTCACTTTATTCTGACAAAACCGACGGCAATCAAAGCTACAGCGCTTCATGGGAATTTCGGAGGTTAAGTGAGTAAACAAGCTAGATGAAAGCTTTTGTTTGTCTTTGGAAAATGAAACAGGAAACCGTTTCATTAATACACTTTCAGAGGAGACAAGAATCTGCGTAAAGCTTTTAAAACTGCTCTTTCAGCTCATTTTCCTCTACTTTCAACTGAGATCAGATAGGAAAAGTGATGGCAGTTCGCAGTGCTCCGCTAGCATCCGAGGGTTTATGTTCTCCGTTTGAGGCAGTCGGATAACTCCGCCGTTTCCCGGGCAGGTGCAGGAGTGCCAGTGTGTTCCTTCTCCCCCTCCCTCAGAGAGAAGTGGAGATAACCGGGTACCGCCGCTGCCCTTCTGAGAAAAGGAGACACCGAGAGTCAGGGGTTAAACCGAGGCATTTGGCTGTTTTCCTTTTAGCTTTTCGGGACTTAGAAAGGGCTCACTAACAGCTTAGTCGGGGTCTGTTATGAAAAGGTGTCAACTGGGTAAAATAACTTGGCTACAATGTTCTAATAAAGGATTAGTGCAATTTGATTTTTTTTCATAGATGTGTTTTGAATACAAATATGTTAATAGTCTGCAGTTGCCTTCCTGAAGCATGACTGTTTGATTTCATATATAAAACAGTAATAAACAAAATACAATAATATTCTCTATTCCTCGCATGTTCAGAGTGCTTGAAATAATTAAGTTGCAGCAAATGAGACTTCAGGATTTTTTTTTTCTTAATTCTAGATCACGTTTGTGCGTTTCACAACACGGATCAGTAAGATCTGCAAATGTTTCTGTCCCGTTTTGGCTTGGGCTGCGAAGCGAGGTTCGTTTATAACGCCGAAGCTTCTGAGGTAGCCGTACTCTTGGTGGGACAGCTTGTTTAATGCACAGATGGAGTCCAGAGTCACTGGTGCAAAGCCATGACTCCAGTTTGTTGTAGGACAATTCCGTCCAAGACAGTTGCTCCCTGCTGGGAGGGCAGTTCTAGGCCAGCCCCAGCCTGGGTCCGGCTCTCACACACAACCGTGTTCTCAGGCTCGTATTGATCCCGACTCAGCCAAATCGTGTAAAAGGCATGAAATGTTTCTGGGATCAACATACAGAACTTACAGTCAAGGGGATAAAAAAAAATAACATTTGAAACTTGTAAAACCGGTGTTTTGTTGCGATGACACAAACGGAGGGCTTTACCCACGCCTTTGAGTTCCCACTTAAACTGTTTTCCTGGCGGGCACCGGTCTGTGACATAGTTAAGTGGTGTTTTTCGCTTGTTCTTGGCCACGCTTCAAATGTTGTTCACTTGTGACAACCTTCTGGTTTTTTTAATTATCGGAGTTGATCTGGATATCCAATTTTAATTTCTGCATCTGCAAATATCTCTAAATTGGTTCAGTTCTGTATCTGCTAAGTTTTTCTGTTTGTTTGTTTGCAACATTGTTGGTTATCCGTGTTATATATTATTATTTTTATATGGCTAATTCATTGGTGATACGAATAAGATATATTTGGTTGACGGTTTTGATGGCTTTTATAATTTTTAAGTACTTATCTTGAAAAAATGGATGTTTGAAAAATAATCCATTATAGAGGACAGCGGTAGGTGTGCATGGCTATAGGGAGTGTGTATATACATAACTTTTATGTAAGTTGTGTGTATGGATAAAGTTTATATATATACTTATGAGGGGTATATGTAAACATAAATTAATAATAATTAAAAGGTGTGGAGTACCTGACTGAATGATTTGCCACTTCAAATTCACCAGAGTAGTTGATGCAGACTTCTAGATGGTTGCTGTATGATGGCCATAAACGTTCAGCTTCCAAAGGTCTTTGCCAAAGACTCTATCATCAGAAAATTGGTGTGCACGTGATGGCACGGTGGTACCCACCGCCACATCCGTGACACTGTGAGTATCGTGTAAGGGAACGGTGTGGCTGTGTGGTAGGTTCACCTATAGTCTCGTCTTTCCAGGCAGTGCTTTTAGCAGTATAGCAATATAAAAATTAACCCAACTGCATACTTAACAAACATTGTTACTGCTTACAGTGCCGTCGGGACACACTGATTGCAGTACTGAAACTGTCCTTTCCTCTTTGCCAATTCCCTGTTTTCTCTGAGCAGTGTTTCGTGCGTGGCAAGCCCTTCTCCTTCGTGTGACGATGCAGCCGCAGGCTTCCATCTGTGTGTGGGTGTGCCGGGATGTGGGGACGTGTTAGTGTGTCAGTGGGGTGCAGAATCTGGGGTTTTTTTTGCCTCTGTTCTCCATTTGATTGAAACAGAAATATTTAAATCACAGGGTTCATTTGGACATTTTTCCAAGGACTTAAAACTGGGCAAGTATCTAATGTTTGTCTAGTGTGAAGTGCCTTGCTTATTTTTCTGTAGTTGAGCTAGTGTTGAGTGTGATTTTTTTTTTTTTAATTTGTTTTTGCTATTGCTAGAGAAATGAGTTTAATTACAGTCGTTTTTGCTCAGCGACCATCAGGTGCTCTACCCCAAGGCATTTGTCTACCTCCGTTATTACAACGCTAGCAGGGTCTTCAAGCATGAGCAGTCAACCCTCAATTTAAAAATCACCAGAGATACAGATGAGGGGGTAAAAACATGGAGAACTTGGGCTGTGCAGGATCTGGTGAATGCTCTGCGTAGCGTTTGGGTAGGGTGGATGTGTGGTGGTCAACAGAGAGGCTGTGTCAGAGGCTTGTGTGTCAACAACTGGAACAAAAGCGGGCATCTCCTAAGCTTTTTTATCTTCAGCCTGTACAGCTGGTATTTTGGGGTCCTCCAGCAGCACATGTAGCAAACCCTTACACTCAATAGCAAATCTAACCAAATCGGTGCTGCTACTGGTTATCTGTTATTTCCTCCAGGTCCCTGATGCATTATTTATCTTGGTGGTGCCGTAGCTGGAAGGGGCTGTGGTTTTCTGTGTCACTCGAGGCCACGTGCTGCATCCCTGTCCTTTTTGTGTCACTGATGATGTGCCTATTATGTGGCTGATACCTTTCTGCTGAAAAAGTCTCAGTGTTGACCAAAAAGTGGTCAGCTTGTGTTCACAAGAGTCGTGGTATGACAAATTTGTGAAGGGTCAGTTTTATTGCAACTTAATGTACCCATGTAAAGAACTAACCACAAATATTGAATTTTATGGGATAGAAAAACTAGTGTAAATAGGTTTTAAAAATGTAGTTCTTAAAAACATTGCAGTGTGTTTGTAGCAGTGTTTATGTGCGTCTTTCCCTGACCTTTCAACTCTTCTTATTTTTTTACTAGTATCCTGAAAGATCAATAAAATCATCATTTAATACTTGCTAAAGTTGTTGATATTTTCATATATTGTGGATCAATAGTGTGATCGGACAGTGGCTGCTTTCCTAGTGTAGGAAACCAGAGGAGTGAAACAGGCTGTGAAATCAGCTCTGCTGAGTACAGAATTAGCCGGTTGTCTTAATCTTTCAGTGTTAGGCCCCTGAATTAGGGACCCTCAAATTCGATGATTTTGCCCCCTCCCCTTCTCTTTTTCCTCTCACCCTCCCCAAAGCAGCTGGGAGGTGCCAGCAGAGGTTGCTGGTCCTTGCTTTTTCTTCTAGAGCTGTTTTGCTGGAGAACAAAACCGGCTTCTGGCTTCGGAAGTCCTTCAGTCGCAGCGGCGAGATGCTCAGAGGTGGAATTTGGGAGGTTTTGCTGTGTGTTTATTCTGTTCTTAGGTGCTCCCTAGCATCTGCTCTGGGCTGTGCTGTGATAAGACACTGAGTTAAAAGGATTCTTTTTGCTCTGATCTGATGTGGCTGTTCATCTGTTTCCAGGTACTCTTAGAAAGTCCTTGCTTGATCTAACATTAAAGGTATTTGTTAAGGTTTTTTTTCCTCTTTTATGAAGCGTGACAGAGGTTTCTCGTTAGAAAGACACTAGAAATGATGTTCAGCAACTTTCAGTTTGGCTCTTGCTTGCATCTTTTTTTTTTTTTTAACATTCAACCCTTTTTTCACTTAACGCTTCCTATGGAGACCAGATTTCTTCTTTTCCTCCTCATATCTCTTCCCGTGTGCCGTTTTTGACCGTTGCCTGTGATCGGAGCACCCCTGACTTTATAACAGCATTCCCCCTTGCCCTTCACGCTTCTCCTGCGAGCATCCTTTGTAATCTGTGTAATCACCCTGGAGCAGCGAGTTGAATAGGTGGGCTGGAGGAAATCCACGGCACGCAGGGAGATCCTTCACTGAAGTGCAACTCTCGTCTCACTTGAAGTGCATCTTTAAAGGAATTTGTTGCATCCAGTGTGTTCTGTTGGGTGCCCCATAACCTCGTTGGCGTCTGAGAAGTAATAATATTACTTTACCCTTCATGCAGAGTTCTTGGATACCACAGTGTGTTTACTACTTGAAAAATATTTAAGTAATTGGTTTCAGCAAATAATTCTCTTGTGATGTGTGGGGATT